CCACCAAGGTATATAAAGGAGCTCTTTTAGGATGGGCCAATCGTTCGTACGAACTCCTCCACGAACGTTCGCGCAACGGCCATTCTGGCATGAACCTATTAAACCCTTGTTTTCCACATCCATCTGCTTTGAGATCTCGTGCGTAGCCTTCTTAAATTATTGCCGATACAAAACATCAACAACAAGGCGGTGGTAGTGCCTCCGGAGCCACGGGTCGGCAACTGACTGTGGGCTGGTGTTGGTGCGGAGGCAAAGCGAGGCAAAGGGGAGGGGAGGAGGCCAGCACTGCAGGGGCGCGCCTGCACATTGATTCCCTTTGGTGCCGCCAAGGCCAGGCGACTGCATTGTAGGTGGGTGGCAGTCGAGGAAAGGGCTAACCTAGTCGCCAGATCAATCTCGTCAAGAGAAAGCTCGCCATAGGGAGGGAGCTGGGGCTCACTAGAGGAGGCCTTTGCCGTCATCATCACCAGAGGGAAGCTGCTCGACTACGTCTTGTCTTCTCAATCGGAGGAAGCTCACCGGATGGATGTGGAGCAAGCTCGCTGGAGGAAGGCTGCTCGTCCGCGACTTCTCTTCTCACTATGTTGCATGCGCGGATGGGTGGCTTCCTATCCGTATGTACCAGACAAAGAAAGAGAGTTTGGGAGGGGGGGAGCTAATTAATATGTTGTGGGCTGCCGTTTTGTGGTAATTCCATGCATGTCATAGTTCATCACTAATTAACAAACAAAGAAATCAATCCAAAACTGGGTGAATCCATTCTCTATGGCCGAGCAGTAGTGCTAAGAAGGGAAATTACCTTCTCTATGGAAGACGGTGTGGTCTCGCGTTAGCTGCTTTGCGGTGGATGGCACACGATCAGCTAAAACCCTACAGCAAAAGCATCAATCATCAGTCAAACAGCTCGGCGAGCTCAAATCCTGTCATCCTGATCAGATAAATACATCAAAATTTAAATGGAAGAAACTAATTCGTTAATCTTGGATATGATCTTTTGGAGAATCAATTTACTTACCAAAATAAATACTTGATATATTCTGTCTATCCTAAACTCGATTTCTTCCATGAAGAAGCACTAATCTAATTTTCCATGATATCACCTCAAAACATCACGCAAATGGAAAGGTCTTACTTTGCAACGCAATCCAAATTTGAGAGAACAAATAAATTCAGCGAGAGGTACAGTTAGATTTTCCTGTAGAATGGGGGGGGGGGGGGTACTTACCGTGCACGATCACTCCACCTCACGAGCTGATCCGCTGCAAATTTCCAGTCATCCACACTGTAAAACAACTTAGAAAATTTAAGAATGGCAACCAATGCCAGAAAATCGCACTGAGCTAACACAGTGACGACCAACACACAACGGCTTACACGGATCTACCTCCCAACGAGGCCATTGACCATGACGATGAGGTGCTCCAGGAAGCCCCCCTCCCTACACTACCTCGGCCTCGGCCATCCGCGTGCTCCACTCGTCCTCCCCTCCACTACACTCTGTCTCCCCCTCCACGGGTCCACCTCCGGCCGCTTCCCTTTCACCTCCTTCACGGCCACTGCCAGCCAGAAACAGCTCATCCATCCCGAGCTACTAGCTGCTCACCATAGCCACAGCCGCGGCCGCGGGGACAGGAACATCAGGCGGAGTGGTCCGACAGCGCGTGGTAACTATGACCGGGTCCCAATGTTAGAGTAGGTGGGGCTGTGGTATATATATAAAGGTGGCACCGGCAACGATCATCTAGCTAGGAGGGGAGGATGTGGCCGCCTTGGCTACCGTGGCTGCTAGATCCACTCTGCATCGATGAGCCAGTCCATATCTGGATGGGCAGATCCAAGCACCAATTCAAAGGCCGCCACCGTTGAGCATATGCACAAGGGGATGGGGTGCATGATATGTTGGGAAGGGGGGGGAGCGGTGACAAGGAGGGGATGGGAGGAGCCGAGGAGGCAGCGTGCTGGGTAAGGAGGGGATGAGATGAGATGGCGGCGTAAGGGAGGGTGGGGGAGGAGTTAGAGGAGGGGAGGATAAGAGAGGGTAGCGGGCGGCATGGAATAGGAATACCAGATGCACACATGTGGGGGCGGCACGCCGGTGAGGATTGGGGCAAGCGGATTGCGGCGTAGGGAAACCCTACTCTTGATGAGAGGGAGAGGGGTGGGGGAGGGGGGGATGATTAGTAGAGAGTTTTGGTTGGTGGAAATGCAGGTGTCAACCATCCGATTAAATACTATGGACCACCAAATCAATCATAAGTGTATTCGAGGGAGGATGTGGGTAGTGGACTGCATGTTAAAATTGACGGACGATTAAAAAAAGATGACGAAACAGAAGCACTTTGATTTGTTCAGGTAGGTAAGTTGATTTTTTAGGTAGGTAAGGTAAGATATGGAAGTGAACTAACTTGTAATATTTTTATTTGTTATTATCGAGAAGTGATAGCTCATATTATTTTTCATTGTTCTTTACTACAATATTACGAAATGACAGCTTGTAATTGATTCCCTTGTTATTTAGTATAGGGAAAAACTCCTAATATGCCATTTGATAAATGACAATAAACAGATACACTGTCTACAGTATCTCACAAACATGTAAATTGTAGGATTAATTTGACTAGCAATTTTCTATCACATACATTCCCACAGTTTTCATCTAATCTATTATTGTTATAAGGAAATATCTTATATTATCAAAATTGATAACAGTAAAACTAAGTTACTTCCAAACAATACTAGCAATTTGCTATTATATTTTGCACATCTGTCATCACATTTCTTATATAAAGATTATCTTATGTCTTCTATGGCTGCGTTCGTTTGTGAGACATAGGGTGAGAAAGCATCTCGTTTTCCTCGCGCACTTTTCCCAAACTATTAAATGGTGCGTTTTTGTAAAAAAATTTTATAGGAAAGTTGCTTTAAAAAATCATATTAATCCATTTTTGAAATTTAAAATAGTTAATACTCAATTAATTATGCGCTAATGGCTTACCTCGTTTTGCGTATCTTCCCAATCTCCCCAATTTCCTTCTCCTCAAAGGCTCAAACACACCCTATGTTGCCATATATTGGTAACACAACTATACAACAGCCTATCAAAACTAATATATTTCATTGACTTTTTCTTACATGTTTGACTATTCGTCTTATTCAAAAAATTTACGTAATTATAATTTATTTTGTTATGAGTTGTTTTATCACTCATAGTACTTTAAGCGTGATTTATATCTTATACATTTGCATAAAATTTTTGAATAAGACGAATGGTCAAACATGTGAAGCATAAAATTTTTGAATAAGACGAATGGTCAAACATGTGAGAAAAAGTCAACGGCGTCATCTATTAAAAAACAGAGGTAGTATTTAACAAGATATACCAGAAATATGAGATAAATAGTTTTTTTTATTTTCTAGAAATGTGCATAGTACTTGCATGTAAACTAGTAGTTATATTTTTTATAAAAATGTTAATTCTTGAACATTTAAGAAAATGAACTAGGCGTGTGTTCAAACAATATAACTTTCAGCGTGCCATATAAATAATATATTCTTTTATAGCAATGTGGAACTATATTAGTTGAGATTTTTTTTCACCAAAAAGAACTGTATTACATTAGAAAAAAATGAGAAAGGACAACCAATTAACATACTTAACAATTATAGCAACAGGTAGAAAGATAGTTTGTCAAAATAGTTGGTTATACAATATCATATTCACAAAATAATATCTCAACCATTCATTTGTTTTATGAATGCTTGTGAGCAAGGAGGGCCATGAATCCAGGAATTCACACATACTTCTTTTGAATAGGGTGATACATATGCACGTACATAAAGTCAGTAAACATGTGCCAACAGACAACACAATTCAGGTGAAAACCGGTAGAGTATGATCTTGGTCCTCCATTTTCGGGCATAAACACATAAAATTTGACAAGAATTTTACAGTCGTATGGTAGAAATTTCACAAATCTGTTGATTAATAAGATATTACTTACAAATGAATCAAATATCGACCCAAAATTATTAAATATTTGTTAATAAGATCTCTTGGAAACGTTAATTTTTCAACATTCTATTCTTACCTTTTGAAATTGTCAGCAGCCTAAAGATTTAGGGGAAAAACTGAATGAAGATCTATTCACATTCCTCTATTCTTTGTCTCATATATATCTCCTTAATGAGCGGGTGCTGCATTGAATCACATTAATCTGTGTGGTTCCCGATTAAAAAACAGCAACGCTATGAACACAGAAGAAAAGGTCTGGCAGTTTCGGTACTCCATCCCAGATGAAAACCCCATATATGGCCTTTATTGGTTAGATCGAGCGATGACGTTGAGAGTGATATGTCCTTCTTGAAGGTGTTCCTTGTAGAACCAGTACCTATAATCCAAGGTGAATACCTTTGACCTGACCTTCACTCGTCGAATCTAGTATCGATGATGCAAGTCGTGTCGATACGAAGGTGAGGGTTCCCAACCCTCATCTAAGAACAAAGCCTAAAGCCACATCATTTTTTTTGTCACACAATTGTCATGCTCTTGTGGATGGCATATTGTTTAGTTTCGATGCCAGATGATTTTTTTCCCTTTTGGCTAATTGGTGTCTTGAAATTTACTCCCTCCGTTTCAAAATTTACTCCCTCCGTTTCAAAATGTTTGACACAGTTGACTTTTTAGTACGTGTTTGACCATTCATCTTATTCAAAAAATTTAAGTAATTATTTATTCTTTTCATATCATTTGATTCATTGTTAAATATACTTTCATGTACACATATAGTTTTACATATTTCACAATTTTTTTTGAATAAGACGAACGGACAAACATGTGCTAAAAAGTCAACGGTATTAAACATTTTGAAATGGAGTAGTTTGTAATGTTTTTTTTGGCTTTTCTGGCTAAACTTGTACTAAGATTTTAGCATGGTGGTAGAATGGTTGTGTGTATCTCTAGTTGCTGCAACAGCCAGAAGTTGTACTTCTGTTTTCTAAAATTTTTTCCTGCCAAGGGCAAATTGATTTTTTTTTCATTACACATAGTTCTGTACACTCAATACCCATCCTTAAAATTCTGGCTCTGCAAATGCTTCAACTACACCTCACATCATAGGCACGATCAGTTATATCAAATAAGTAAATATCACTTCCCTGATGATAATGTTACATGAGTGACAGCATAGTGAGGATCATATATTCTGAATTGCCAGTCTTGCAGCGATCATACCAATATTATGTTCTACATACTCAATCCCACTGTTTAGTCTTTCAAGAGTGTTTGTTGAATCCATTGCTTGTATCTTATATTTTTGCAGGGAAAGAAGTTCTGCTTCTGACATACCTGTAGTGCATGATTTTGATGTTAGATACTATCTCCGTTTCAGGTTATAAGACTTTCTAGCATTACCCACATTCATATAGACGTTAATGAATTTAGGCACACATATATGTCTAGATTCATTAACATATATATGAATGTAGACAATGCTAAAAAGTCTTATAATATGAAACGGAGGAAGTATGATCATAGGACTACATGAAGCTGCTGCACACACTGTGCGCAACATCTGTTTTTGTTGGTCATTCCATGAAAGATTGGCATACCTCATTGAAATTGAAATTTCAAATAAAAAGCAAAATTCAACATTGCAAGCTATATATTTAGGCGATAATGATCTGTTGTCACCTGAAACAGTCTGGTACGCAGCAAAGGAGAGACGTTCGGGTAGCGCAGGGATAAAACCTTCATTATACTCCTCAAAAATTTCTTTTTCAGACCACAACAGGGAGGCCTTGATGTTAGTTTGCAATGGTTCATCCTCAGGTACCTATGTGGCAAAAATGAAGTCTCACGACTTACGACAAAACCATTGTTCAGCATTCGCAAATTGCTGAAATTACAGTGGTAGTGGCCAAACCTTCAGTTTCATCTGTAGACTGTGTAAATTACACATAGACTCTCTTAGCTTGGAAATTCTTAATCCCAATTCAATACTCTCGGAAGATATGTCCATAATGGGAGAAACATCACCACGCAAGTAGGGTTCCATCTAGATCAATGAAGTAAAACAGGAGAAGGACTGTGAATCACAACTGCTCAAATAAACGTACAGTTTTAAAGAGCATGTGCCTGAAAAGTCATTTGTTTGTACCACTTCTTATTAGTATAAATACGTACTTCAAGACCAATGCAAAAAAAAAAAACATTATATAATGTTCCATCAAAATATACCAAACCAGAGCTTTTTTTTAGACAGTAGAAGTAGTACTTTCGACTTGCACCAACTAGGGATGTATACAATCACATGTATGGACACCAGGATTTAAACCTTGATGGATGGAGACGCCCATGACTCCATCACCACACTATAAACAATGCTTCCCCAAATCAATCTTGAGAAAATATGGTCATCACAATTACAAAGGAACTTTTTTAAACATGTTTGACCGTTCGTCTTATTCAAAAAATTTAAGTAATTATTAATTCTTTTCCTATCATTTGATTCATTGTTAAATATATTTTTATGTAGACATATAGTTTTACATATTTCATAAAAGTTTTTGAATAAGACGAACGGTCAAACATGGCTAAAAAGTCAACGGTGTCAAATATTTAGAAACGGAGGGAGTATGAAGCATTGAATGGCACATGAGTTCCTATCGGTGACACAATGCCCTTACAGGATCAATGCGGCAATGTCTGGTGGATTATACAGACAACTCATGGAATTTATATTGATTAGGTATGACATGTTATAAGTATAAACATTGAAAAAATATTTCAATCTACAAAATTGCAATGAGGTTACCTGCAAAAGGTTGATAATGTTTACACGGCAAACTCCTCTAATTGATACTAGTGCTCCAATATCAAGCCTTTCAACCTATACTAAAGAAAGATCATTGAGTAGAAAATGTAAATAATCCTATGCAGAATCCTGTCATAAAAAAATTGTAAAAAAAAAGGGTATGAACCACAAGAACTTTACACTTTCTATCTGGACCAAACAACCATGTCTTACAGCAAAGGAAGCTTTAGGTGAACCTGATACAACTGGGTCGAGCACCAAATGCACAAAAGAATTGTTTGTCCTATACAAGGCCTGTTGAGCAAAAAGGTAGAAACAGATGAGAAATAATTATATTTTCGCATAACTACAACAACACTGGTGCGGTGTGTGTGTGTGTTTTTTCTATAACAAGCAAATTACCCGGCTTTGGGAGAAAGCCAAAAACAGAGACAGTCTTACATAACGGAAATTGGTGTGGTGTGTCACTCAGCTGAACTACTGAAGGTCTCGTTATAACTATTAATCTAGTGATAGAGATATACAGTTTTTGTAATTCTGTTACGTCATATTATGTCATAATCCCATTTCCACCGAGAAATTCTTCCCTTGCCTATTAAGGGTAACTAGAGCACCTTAGAAGAGCTTAGAGCTGAAATCAAAATATAGCGCAATAGCAATATAATTCAAACTTAAGGGATTCAGCAAATGGTAATTACCTCTTCTAGCAACGCCAGATACCTAGCCTCATACAAGTGTAAAGTCTTGCACTCCGATGGAATCAACACCTACAATATTTTTACTGTCTTAGCAGCACCCTAGTGATTTAGTTGACAGTAAAACGTGCAGATAGTAAGCATTTGTGGCAACCCTGAAAACCAAACACCTCTGTTAGAATGCAGATATTTGACCCAATCGGCCTTTGCCGAGTAATGAGCCAGATACCTACATGCTACCAAATTAAGATACTGGCTAGCTTGCTTAGTCGCTGCAGCATATGACGAGTAACTGATCAAATTACTTCTTATTCATTATAACCAGTAACAATTCAGAGAACTGTTACTATCACAGATACTGCAGATTCAGATATGTTTCTTCACATGTAATTCCCAAGTGGGGTGAAAGAAAAATTATACAGACGTTACACAAAGGCAGCTGAAGGTAAACAATTGGCATCGTGATCAAGTTAGTGCTAATCATGGCATACAGTGCACAGACACTGGTTGCTAGAAACAATCGTAGATACATGCCAGCCACTGCCACTATGTCAGGGACGGCCTAAGCTGCGAAATTTTTTTGGTGGCTCCTCATCTTAGCCTCTTGCAAGAAAGCAATAACTTTCTTTCACTTGAATTAGCTACAGATAATTAATCCAGCTCGATTCGAACACTGCTATTGACCTATTGTTGTGTCAAACTGACGGTATGCATGTGCGTCCAATTTCAAATCACCATAGCCATAGGTAGGGGCGGCAGCTTTCTTGTTGTTCAGAGGTCATGAGGTCGTACCTCTGCGGGCTGGAACGGGAGGAGGGGGAGGTCGAGGGACGCCGGCGACGGCGACGAGCAGCGTACTACGGCGCGGGGATGGCGGCGGCGCGTCGCGCGCGCGTGGAGGGATGCTGGGGACGAGGGAGAGAGGAGGCGGAGCAGAGCCGAGGCGGCCATGGATGGGTGGGAGTGGGAGCCGTGGGAGAGAGATAATGCGCACCTGTTTCCTCTCCTCTTCTTTTCTTTTATTTTCTTTTGTTTTATTTTCTTGTTTTCTTTTTAAGCCTCAACCCTTCAAGTACAAGTAGTAGTGTCTGAACTCACGCACAAACTCACACCACCACACCGCACACTACACACTCACACAACAAGATCTACGCAAATACCCAAAGGCTGCACGTGGCTGAGAGATATGCGAAGTGAACTGGCTTCGCACGTGACAAGCATGTCACCTTGACCATTGTGGCACATTCACGTGTGAGGCTGCAACAGAAGGAAAAGGGGAATAAAACCCCAATGCGAAACCCGCGTCGAGCGGCGCTCGAACGCGGGTGGTGGGCGCTCCACCGAGCAGCCCAACCACCGAGCCAACGGCTCGTTCGCTCTTTTCTTGTTTTGTCTTGGAGAAATCGTGCAAATCCTCTCTTACTATATATATAAAAAGTTATAACATTTAAGGATCACGTAAGTATGCTATATTATCTATAGTTTTATAATTTTTTTTTAAAAAAAGTTAGAGATTCAAAATGCAAGCATGTTTCATCATCCCACATAATTCATATAATATTTTGATATATCTCTCCATCATTTTTTTATAATATCCTATAAGTTCATCATCACTTAGTTAATGTTATTTTATTTTCTCTCATTAAGCCATATAATATCAATTGCTTTTAGTCCTTATATGATTATTCTATGGTTAAAATTATCTTTCTCCTTTTCTTCTCATTAAACCATATTATCTCAATTTTTTAAGCCTTCAGATGTATAGTCTAAATTATCTTCCTTCTTTTGTTCTCACACCATCTTACTTTTACATTTGAATCATCATTCTATATACCATTTCAATTTAAATCACATCAACTTATGTAGTCCTCGTCACCGGCCTCCTTCTTGCACTGCGCCGCATCTTTCGGTCCTTCCACTCCTTCGCCCACATCGCGCGCCCACCGCCGCCGCGGGAGACGACGGGAGCCATGGATGGATGGAGGTCAAAGGGCAACACTGCAACACAACTCTTTGGCTGCAGGGATGATTAGCATATAAGCTCGACGTAGACCTTATGATCCAGTGGTTCATATGCAATCTCATCCATCGATCGAACGGCTGAGAATTAGTGATAACGTGGAATGCTGAGGTTTCAGCTTTAGATCTTAACTTTATAGAAAGAAGGGATTTACGTGAGGGAGGTGGAGAGCCGGAGATGATTTTTGGGAGATGGGATTTTGGTTTTATATTTAAAATAGATCTAATGGTGTAATATAATGGGCCCACTGTATTAAGGGAAAATAAGAGTAAGATGTTTTGTTCTCTTTTTTTTAGAATTTCTTGGGTTTCTCTAATTTATTAGAGCGCCAAGTGACGTCCTAGAGTGTTTATAGAAAGTTTAATGGATTTTTAATATATAATAGATAATAAAAAAGTAATCACATGCTCTACCCATTTTCTTTTGTTCCAAACACGTAGAGACCAGATGCGTGGAGATTTTGAGCTCGGTTTGACAATAAATACCAGTGCATAAACCTCATGCACATAATCTTTCAATCGCAACATAAAATTTTCGGTGTATAAACTTTATACGCATAAAGTTTCAATGTGTAAACTTTATAAAGAGAAAGTTTCAAATATACTCAAACGAATTCAAAAATTGAAAAGTTTTTCACTCAAAATCATAATCATTCAATCAAAGATCTAAAAATTTCTTTTTTATATATAAAAAAAACTTTGTTCAACTGAAATCTCTAAATGTCCCGCTCCAAATCATGAACTTTCAACTGAGATATAGCAAAAGATATAGGAGTAGGAAGAACCTGTTGAAATAATAAGCACATAATGATTTAATTTATTCCATAAATAAATTATGACATTACAGATGTAAACTAGAATAATCGCATCATTGGATCTACACATGTAAACTAAGCAGTAAAACATGAACAGATCGAATATGCGCAACATGTTGAACGCGTATCGAGGTTGCCGAAAGATCGGTTGCTCAGCAGGAATTACTCGCGGTTGTGGACATTGACGAAGCGTGAGCAAACAGGAAGACGAGCCGTCATGGACAAACAAGGAGCGGTCGTGTGAAGCGCGCGTAGTGTAACTGAACTGGATAAGTCGCGCGTAACTTATCCGGACTCTATGCCATTGTCACACATGAGTAACCAATTTTGCAGACCATTCGACGCGTAACATCGTGCACGCGCCAAGCGAGGCGAGCGAGCGCATGTGTTCCCCCTCTTCTCTCCACCTCACATGCTTTAAGTGGCTAGGAGGGCATCCTCCCATTTAAGGAAGTCCCTCTCTCCTAGAATAAGCAAGGTGGTACTAAACTCCCTATGCATGCTATCCCATGAGGTGAACTTTTGTGATTTTTCAAAGAATTAATCTTTAAGTGGGGTAAGGCCTATCTATTAATTTCAACAGAACCCGCACCCATCTAGGATGGGGTTTCACGTGCTATGGTCTATGGCTCAATCACATTTTTTTCTGCCCTCATATGTATAGGAGAAAGCAGAGATTAGGGGAGAAGAGTGGCTGCGGCTTCACTGTTCCGTTGTTGTGTTTCCATCCGTGTTCCGTACCATGTGGAGGGCATCGGTTTGTCGATTCTTTTTGGTGGTGGGGTCGGCTTCTATCTACCGTGCAGAATATGACGCCGTCACTACTCCGTCAAAACAAACCGGGTACTAGTACTTTTCACTCCGCGCTGCACAACTTGGAAAACCACTGCATCCTTATCTCTTGTCCCCAAATCAGAGAGTTCATCTGAAGTTCTGCTCATCTGCTGCTCTCCTCATCTTCCTCTTGGCCGCACGCAACCATGGTTGCTCTCGCGTTGTCGGCGGCCAGGCTCGCCGGCTTGGCGTGGTCTGCACTCCGCATACTCGTCGGCTTGGTGTAGTTCAATGGTCAGTACCAAATGTGGAACTCCCTTGTTGCTGGCAACTACTATTTGCTATGGTGAAGAAGTGAAGAATTGAAGATCGAAACTTTTTTCACCATACAGCTGCATTAAGGTAGTTTTATTTGATAAGTTCATTTTTGCAAACACCTCTTGTGTTTTGATGCTTCTAAATTATTATGATTTTTTTCACATGAGCCAAACAACATGTTTGGTGGGAACCATATATTTGATGCTAATACAAGAGAAAGTACTAGTATGATTTGACAGCTTGAATCGACATGGGAATTCAGATTAAGATCCAATCTTACAAGTTGTAATGTGATTGGAAATTGGTAAAGGTGCTAATTAATATGAAAAAAAGGTGGGGATTTTAATTTAAATGGGCAAACATGCTATAGGGATATGTATCAAATGTCTGTGCAGTCTCTTCATGCTGCATCCCTTGACTTTGTTTAGAAGTTCGAAATAACCAGATGACTGAAGTAATGAAGCACCTTCAACATGATAGTAGTCTGGCATTTGCATGTGATTGTAGTTAGTGGGAATCTCTGAACGACCCTGAATCTGTATAAGGCAAATAATAATCAGTAGCACTGATAAGAGAGTCTCTGCCAAGTGTGTGTGTGTGTGTATATATATATCTTGAATCTACTAACCTGCATCATGGTGTATGGCAGTGATGGTGTTACCACCTCTGCTTGTACTGGACACTTTGATGTGCTTGAATCACTCTTTTTCTTTTTACTCCATTGTGTTGCCTTGTCAAAACCACCAATTGGTCTCCTCGACCCACGAATGGCTTTCTCCTTAACCTTTATGCCTCTTGCTTTACTCGGGCCAACATTTTCCTCTGTGCCTATGATAAAATATTTTTGAGATAGCTGATTTAGATTATAACATAGTAGTCACTAGCATAAGTACTATTCAACTCAGAGTAGGATACAAACCTGATTTATCCAAATCTGGATCAGGCCTTATACTCAAGTATTTCTCCACATCTTCTGCTAACTTTTGTGCATTGTTGGCAGCCATTAAGTATGTTTCATCAGATTCTGCAGCTCGAGATGCTATTTTAACAAACATTCTGCACAAGTCTCTCCTGCGCGTTGATAACTTTATTTTAGGATCTTCATGAGTACTGCAGTTGCTCTTTATATGTAGAGATTTTGCATCAATGGTCCATCTTTGTAGTATGTATTGCTTAGGAATTTCTTTTATATTGTTAACATCAAGTATCTTCAATGCATGGCAACATAGGATTCCGAGAAATTCAAACTTCTTGCAGCTGCACCTGACTTTACCTTCTGTTGGAGAAAATTTTATAACATGCTCATGGTGCTTACCGTGAACTTTTAATTTGTACATTTCAGCATCAATATCACCACAGTAGTATAGGTCACAGTTCAATGTTTGCAACACTTGTTCCTGAAACACTTTAAATATTGCTGGAGTATAAATTCTTGTTGCTTGCCTTAATATTGTCAAATCTACTTTTGGCCATGGTGTACTTTGTGTTGTCTTAAAGTCATTTTTGACTTCCTCATATCTTTTGTCTGACAACAACCTGTCAAAGTGTTCCAAGAAGGTAAGTATGTCATATTTCACACTGATATAGCCCTTCAATTCATTGTTCATGCTCTCACTTCTCTGTGTTCCACTCATATCAGCAGAAAATGTGTTTCTCCCATACACTAATGCCCATTGCTCTTTTTTCTGAAATAGCCTCTCAAGCCATTTGTTCTCCTGCAGATCATACTTTTTAAGCATTCTATTCCATGCATTTATAAATTCATCTTCCTCCTCTTTGTCATAAATACAATTCTGAAAATCTGCATTGAATTTCTTGTACTCCTTCACAACTCCAGCAAGGTGTTTGCAGGCATTTTGGTTCATATGCCAAACACAAATTCTATGATGACTTTCTGGCATGACTAACTTGATTGCTTTGGCCATTGCTGCGTCTTCATCAGTCAATATAGTCTGTGGCTTCTTTCCAGACATGGCTTTTAAAAATGTCTTGAAAAGCCAAACAAAACTATCAGCAGTTTCATCATACAAAAGTGCAGCACCAAAAACAACGCTTTTCTTATGATTATCCACACCAACAAGCAAACCAAATGGACGACCATCATTTAGTTTTCTCTATGTTGTGTCAAAACAAAGAACATCACCAAAAACTTCATAATCAGCAATCATTTTAGAATCAGTCCAGAAAATATTTGTTATCAAGTCATCCTCATCAACCTGAATGGAATAGAAAAAATTAACATCTTCCGATGATTTTTTCTCCATATATTCCAAGACTCCCCCTGTGTCACCTTCGTTTACCTTCAATGACCTCTTTGAATATAATATATTCTTCATGTCTTCACGAGTAAATCCAAGATTCTCATATCCACCCGCTTCTTTTGCCATTAAATCAATAGTAGCCTTATTAGAAATGCCTACTGATTTTGCATTTTCAGCACTTGCCATCTGTGCTTCAG